CTTTGCATTCTACAAAATCATAGAAGGATATTTCCTTCAGCGCTTTGTTTTTTCTCCATGTGTTAATCCGACTTTTATGATGATTGCAAGAATATGCTCTGTGGATTTTTACATCGATCCCTTGGGGGGCTTTTTGCTGGCTCACTCTGACCAGAAAGGAAGCATCTCAGGACTTAGAATATATATGCATGCACTTACTCTTGTAGAAATGCAAGCTTTCCTCTGGGATGTTGGCAAATCTTATAAGGATCAGTTCTCGGTCGATGCTGAAACTGGGCCCTGACTGCCAGGGCTGCAGACCCGAGAGAGAGTGACAAGTAGCAACTTTATTTACTTTGACTTTTCAGAATCAAATTAAACGAGCCTGAATGGAATTCCCCTGAAGTCCCAGGCTTTTATTTATAGCCTTCTTTGGATCTCCAGCCGTCTCGCGAGGCACATAACTGTTGTTACCCCCGCGCTGTAGGGCAGGGCACCGGGAGCCCAAGATGTTTGGTCGGGTCCCACATCCGGTCATTCGGATCGTGGTCGTCTGAGTCGTGAGGAATTTTGGACGTGGTCTAGCTGAGGCAAACTCGCCAAGCAGACCGCGTCTGAGGCTATGCTGCTTTTCCTGAGGTTTCTCAGATCGACCTTTCGGCAGCCCATTGAGATTATCTGCGGGGGCCTGTGGAAAGATTTGCCAGAGTCTGCACGAAGAGTCCTCACCGTAACCCTATAAGGGAAAATATGCTGTGCTGTGCTGGAGCGTCGGCTCCTCTGCTCCAGTGCCACACAAGCCCCGTCCCTCCCGAGCACGCTCCCAAGTCCTCCTGTCAGTGTCTCTGCTGACGGAGACGGGCATCGACCTGGCGGAGACCGTGAAGCTGTCAGAATCATTCCTTCGCCACTTCTGATCGCGTGTTCTAAGAATAGCACGGAAGACATGGCTACCAGGAGAGGACGGTCCGTGGTATTTTTCTCTGCAACTTTCTCTTCCACACGAATCTCAGGAGTTTTGTCCGTCATGGAGATGTAGAAACAAACGGGCGTGTGAATTCACCAAGCACACCGTGCGCGTCCGTGGAGTCACGCGGCGGTCCCCGACGTGAGGCCGCCCGCTGCCCGCCGGAGCAGACACACGGGTCCAGCCACCGCTCCTGCGTCAGGTGTGGACTCTGCCAAGGGCAGGCCTGCCCGGTGGGGACGGCGCTGTCTCGCAGGGCGGCCAGGTAAGGGAGGCGTGGCCTCGAGAGGTGTAGCACGACACGGACGGGCAGGGTGGAGGCCACCGTCCGCGGGTAAGAGTGGGCCCAATGGGTGTAGGAAACCGGACCGTTTGCCGCAGTGTGAGGCAGAGTGGGGGAGTGGAGAGGATGACTCTGGAAACATCAGCAGGGGCTGGTTGAGATCTGATACAGTGTCAGGAAAAGTCACTTCTTAAGGAGGTCGGGGACAAGGGCCATTTTCTGAAAAGGAGGTTGGTCTTGGGACCAGCCATGGTTTAGAAACTGCTTCCTAACTGGAGCCTCAAATCCAGTGCACTGGTCCCGGGGGAGGGGGAGCCGTGGAGGTTTCGTGCAACAGGCTCCCCAGCGCTGCAGCGACCCAGCCTCTGGAGACGGTCAGCTCGGAGAGATGTGCGCTTTCCCACAAGGCCCCGGTGCGCCGCGGGAGGCAGGTGCGAGCCCTGCCTCATCTGTGCTGTTCTTTCCGGAGCCTCCCTGACCCCCGTTCTCTTGTGGCATCTGATTTTGAGTCCTAGTTAGAAAATCTTCTCCCAGGCTGGGGTTATAAAAGAATTCGCCTTCTGCTTCTTTGAGGACTTGAATGGCTTCGTCTTTGGTATTTTGATTCTCAGGTATCTTTGGAGTTTCTTCTGGTGTGTGATGTAAGTACTTAAATTTATCTTTTGTCTTCCTCCAAATGGCTGCCAGTTGTCCTGACTCCGGTTTGGAGGAGGGCCATCTTTTCCCCCTTTGTTTGCGATGCTTCCCGTATCAGGTGCCACATATCTGAACGCATGCAGGTCCGTTTGTTGACTTTCTGTTCTGTTGTGTTGATCCACCTGGGAACATATGTGCCTGCATCACACCTTTTTAACGGTAGCAACCTTTAATAGAGGGTAGGGTCCGTCCTTCGTCATTGTTCTGAGACATCCCTGCATCCTCGCTGGTACATTAAATTGGTTGTGACCGTGGACAGAATTAACATCTTTCTGATGGTAAGTTGTCCTCTCCCAAGGCAAGGGGGCACTTTTCTGTTTGTTCAGATTTACTTCTTTGTCTTTCAGGAGTGCTTTCAGTTTTCCTCATGGAGGTTGTGCACGTTTCTTTTTAAATTAAGTGTTCTACTTTCTGATTGCTTCTAAATGCTTGTTTGGTATAGAATTAACATGCAAAACTTTATTGAAAACTTTGTCGGAGTTTTTTATTATTTGTGGTAGTTTTATCATTGGTTATCTCGGGTTTTCCATGAATGATTTCACATCAGCTGCGGACAGATAATTTTGTTGTTTCATTTCCATTTGTAAGTCTCTAGTTGTCTCTCTTTTCTAATTGCTTTAGCTGGCGCTTCCAATAGAGTGTTAAACGTGGTGGAGGGAACAGGCCTCCTTGACTTGTTTCCAACCTTTCCGGGAATGCCTGAAGTCTTTCTCACTAAGTAGGTTCCTCTTCTTGCTTTGGTTTGTCTGTTAGTGTCTTAGGCCACTCGGGCTGCTATACCAGAGTAGCATAGACTAGGAGGCTTGTAAATAACCGACATTAATCTCTCCCAGCCCTGGAGGCTGGGAGTCTGCGATCAGGGTTCCAGCATGGATGGGTTCTGGTGGGGATCCTCCTCTGGGCTGCAGACTGTCTGCTCTTCATCCTCACAGGGCAAAGGGGCAAGAGCGATCTGTAGGACCTCTTGTGTACCATTTTGTACCGGGCACCATTCCCCTTTGAGAAGGCTCCTCATGACTCATCACCTCCCAATGGCCCCACTTCTGGTACTATCACATTGGGCATTAGGTTTCAACATGAATTTGGGGGGAACACAGACATTCAGCCTATAGGAGTTACTACACGTATTTTATCAAGCTAAGGAAGTATACATCAATTGCCATTTGTTGATTTTTTTTTTTTTTAATTAGGAGTGAGTATTGAATTTTGTTGAATGCATTTTCATGATCTATGGAGAGAATCACATGATCTCATTAGAGAAGATATTAATATGATAAATTATATTAGCACGTTTTCTAACACCGAGTCATCCTGGCATTGCTGCAATGAACCCCATTTGGTCATGGTGTGCTATTAATGTATTGTGTTGATTTCTGTTTGTTAATATTTTATTTAGGATTTTTGCATTGGTATTTGTAAGTAACATTAGTCTTTCGGTTTTCTCTTTTTGTGCTATCTCTGTCGGGTTTAGACATCGGTTTTGTACCAACTTCTAAAAAAGAAAGTATTTGAAAAATTTCTGTATTTACCCTCTGAAACAATTTGTGTAGTAAGGTTTGGTATATAAGGTTTGGTAGAATTCCCCTGTAAAACCATCTGGGACTGGGGCTTGCATTTGTGGGGCTAATTCTTTGGCATGTTTCTCTGCTTCTTCTATGGAAAATTGGTCTGTGTATGCTTTCTAAGACAATCTGGTAAATTGTACTCCTTTCTGTGAACTTATGTATTTCACCTACTTTTAAATGTATTTGCATAGAGTCGTATAGGATAGTGTTTCATGGCTTCTCTTAAGGGGAGGCAGATATTTAAGGACTTCATAGTTTCGGAAGGTAAGAAGTATGTGCGTGGTGTTTACCTACTCATCGATCCCATCGATCCCAGGTCGCACAGTGAACTAGGAAGATGAGCATATGCCAGTCATAATGCCGCCAGCCGCCAGTTGTGAGGTACTTGGCTCTGCGCGTAGAGCCCCTCCTTTAACGCTCGTTACAACACTGAGATACATGATCAGCATCTCATGTGAAGGATGAGATCGTTTGGGGGACTTACTCACTGACCTAAGGTGACACGGCTAGGAAGGTTCGGAACGGGGCTGTGGGTCTGATTTGTGTGGCCACCAACGCTGGGCTCCTTGTAAGCATCGGCAGGTGAGGAGGGCCAAGCAGAGACATGGACGGAGAGATTCTGGGAAGGGGGGTCAGGATGGATGGAATGACCAGGGTGTCTTCGCCGAGGAGGCGGGACGTGTGTTCCGCTCTAGAGGACTGGCAGTTTGGGGAGGGAGGGGGAGATGGCAGCAAGGTGATCGTAGGTGGGCTGGCCGGCAGCACGCGGTGACCGTAGCTCCACCCGGTGAGAAGGACACGTGGAGCCTGGCAGGTCCGGGTGCCAGCTGGGGCTGCGCGCTGGGGCTGGGAAGGGGAGAGCCAGGGGCACTGGGGAAGTAGGGAGAAGCCCGTACCTGTTTGCAAGTGACCCTAGATAAGGGGAGTTACCCACGTCTAGTTTCCATGCAGTGGGTTAGAACTTGGGAGGGAAGAACCACATGAGAGGGGTCTGGGGTGAAAACACTGAAAAGACCCCCTTTGGGGCGCCTGGGTGGCTCAGTCGGTTGAGCGTCCGACTTCGGCTCAGGTCATGATCTTGCAGTTTGTGAGTTTGAGCCCCGCGTCGGGCTCCGTGCTGACAGCTTGGAGTCTGGAGCCTGCTCCGGATTCTGTGTCTCCCTCTCTCTCTGTCCCTTCCCCCTTCAGACACACACACTCTCACGCTCTCAAAAATAAATAAAAACATTAAAAAAAAAAAAAAAAGACCCCAGCCGCCATCGTGGTTGCCCAGAGACACTGACCATCACTGAGGGTGCAAACAGCATGGGTCTCGTATACGCCAGCGAAGCTTGCGGACCGAGGAGAATGTGGATATGGCAGTGTGTGCAGTCTGCCGCCGTGACAAATTGCGTGACGGGAATCTGCGAACCGTTCCTTGCCCTTCCTGACAAAGAGGAGGGAGGTTTGGGTGGCTAACCGTGTCTTCCTAGAGACAGTAGTAGTGGACGTTATTTCTCGTTGCTTGCAGGATTTGTCCTCGGCGAGTGGCTCGGTGTCCTGGGAAACTGCAGGGGGACCCCGGGAGCTCTGTCCTCGCCCCTGGAGGAGGCGTGTGGAGAAGACAGTTCTGTGCAGACCCGGGTGCTCCGGCCTGGCGGTCAGGCCACCCGGCTCCTGGTTGGGGCCTTTTAACCAAATACTTTGTGACCTCAGCAGGTAAGTCACTCTCCTTCTCTGGGCCCCAGGTTCCTCCCATCCGTCTGGCGTTCACATTCTGTGATTTAGGCATTAAGGTGGATAAAATTCCTTTAAAGTGGTTTTTGGGTCGCGCAAACGATAGCCCATTTCTTTTCTGTCGTTGAAATAAATCAAGCCACCACCAAACCTGAGTTAGAGGTTTTTCCAATAGTAGAGGGGCGGACTACAGAGGAAGCCAGTTGCTGTACCGAACTCTTTGTCTGCTGTGCTGCCCGGCCTTGCTCATTCTCTCCCTCTTTCTGTAGGACCGTGGAAGACACCACAAGAGCAGAGTCACTTGATTTAGTGCAAACATCCTTTTGCTTGGGAGAAGGGAGTTTTGCTGTTCGGATGCATAGAATGTACCCAGAAATGCCTCCAGGTGATTTCCTCATTGCCTTGGGAATCATAAATTCTGTAGCCAGATCTTTTGTGTGGTGTGGGCATTTGGGAAATTTTTTTTTTTTTTTTCCTGGAAGCTAGTGATTACACCTGTGTCCCGGTCCCAGTCATTGTTCAGTGATTCCCATTCTGCCGAGAGGAGGGTAGCGGGTGTGAGGGTTGGGAGGTCGAACAGAGGAGGCGGGAGCCCCAGAGGGCCACACGGTGGTTCGAGGGTGGACGTGGCCTTGCTCTGCTTCCTGGCCTGGATCAGGCTCTTCACCGTTTTCCTTTGATCTCTGCCACCTGTGATATTTCCAAGACAACGTGATCGTGAGGGTCAAGGGATGACATGCACTGGAAGCATTTTGTAGAGGAGGGTGTCACTGGTTGTTATTCTGAGTGCAGCGCCCTTTGGCCTGTGTTCCGGGCACACAAACTGGGGAAGAGGAGCAGACCGTGCCCTTGGTGAGTCTCCGACCCTGTGAGCCTTCCTTGTTCCGTCAGCAAGTTGAGAACGAATTGGCCTCGGTTATAAGATTCTGGTTTTTAATATAAGCAGTGTTAGTAAGAGAGCTAGGCAAGGCACCATTTGAGCGATGAGCCAGAAGGCTGTGGTTGTGAGGGGAGCCTGTTGCCATCGTGGGAAGGAGGTTACTTGAGCGTGGACACAGAGGAGTGAGTGTCCTCTTCTGCCGAGAGTGAAAGGTACAGTCAGTGCGACGGTGCGAAAAGCACAGGCATCAACACTGAGCAGACTTGGTTCTGACTCCCATCCTGCCCCTCATGTCGAGCACTGTGACCTCGGGCCGGAACATAACCTTTCTCTGTCTCGAAGGGCTCGTGTGCCGATGAGTCTGGCACGGGGTCGGCACTTGGCGGGAGCTCTAATTCCCCAGCAAACGTCTCTAAGGAGGGACGATACTTCTGCGGGGGAAAACAGAAAAACCTGGATCGTGACGAGGACTCTGGCCGGGAGTGCTGCAGGAGGTCAGGTGCACGTGTGTTTCCTGGCCCCAGAGAAGCAGCCCGGCTCCCGAGCGAAGGAGAGAGCGAGTGTCGGGCGGTGGAGAAGTCGGGTCCCGGGGCAGGAAGTCCTCGGAGGCTCGCGGAGAGGGGCACTCGGGATCCATCCGTGGAAACCGAAGCCGAATCCCTGGACCCCGGATTGCTTTGCCTGTCCTACGAGAGCGGGCTCAGAGCTGGAAGAAGGAGTGGCCGCGCCAGAGGGCACAGGGCAACCTGGTGCAGTTTGAGTCATACGATGCCACCCCTGCGTTGGGGCACGTGTCCATTAGAGCCTCATTTCTGGAGCTCCTGTGGACACTGCCCTTAGACTTCCAGGGAAAGGCGGGTCCATATCCAGAGTCTTAGGCTGAAGATTGGGTGCGGGAACTTCTTGTTCCTCCCTAGCCTTGGCGGCATGTCTGCTGGCTCTGGGAAGTCACGCCCCTTCCTTCAACGTGCGTGTGCTGAGTGCGTGGTTAATGCTGGATGCTGCTGGGCACCAGAGGGAACCCAGCGACGTACCGGATGCTGTCCCTGTAGGCCAGGACGGGCAGTCCAGTGGGGGAGGTAGATGGCTCAGTACGTAATTCTGACGCCCTACAGGGCACCATGTAGGCCCCGGCGGAATTTATCACCCCCCTAATAGCTCATAAGAAGATGGCCGTAGCGTCTCACCAGGCCGGGTCGTGTCAGGAAGCAACCATGCGATGATCATCGTGAAGGGGCTGAAGCAGGGCCCTTGGAATCAGATCTGCATTCAGGTTCTCACTGCTGCGCTCTCGCCGTGTGGCCGTGAGCAGATTATGAGCTGGAGAAGCTTAGCCACCTACTTGCCTGGTAGCCTTCGGCGACCTCCCTGAGCCTCCGTTTCGTCAGCCGTAAGCTGGGATGACAATAGCAGCTAAGCCCACCGGGGCTGCTGTCCAGGGACAAGCACGGTGTGGACACTTGAGGCTGCTGTGTGAGCATTTGCTCAAATACAAGCGAGCAGACCGGGGCTGGCTTCTCGTTCCTCCGCAGATGGGGATGATGGAGTCTCAGCAGCACTCCCGGGAGGAGGCGGAGGAGGGGGTCTTGTGTAGGTGCCTTTCACGTCGTGGGTCCTCAGAAAGTGTCTCTTCCTTACTGGAGAGTCACCCGTCACTCAGTACTCCGGTGCTTTCCGCGCACACGGTACCGCGGGGCCGGGCGTCCAGAGATGAGCCGAGCGCAAAACCTGCTCCCAACCAGCCGACCAGCTGTTGGGAGAAGAACAACACCAAAACAAAGCCTAGATCACTAAGTATCCGGTTATCGGTTATGGGTAGGGCCGCCGCCAGAGGAGTGAGTCTTGGGAACGAAGGCGGAGCCCCGTGGGGAGGGGCCGATTGGGGAGGATTGGTCAGAGGGAGCTGGGAGGAGGGGGACGCGGGGGGGGGGGGGGGGGGGGGGGGGGGGGGGGGGCTTTAAGTGTTTGCAGGGGCTGCCAGGGGCGTGGTGTGGTTTGTGGAGTCTGTGAAGGTTTTCCAAGAGTGACGCTCTCTGATGTGCAATGTGCCGCACCCTGCGGTGGGGAGAGCCGTGCTCCGCGGATCTTGGTTTGCAATTTCAGGTGAACAGAAAACCATATGAGGCAGCTTTTTGTAAAAAACAACGAAACGAACGTTTGTGAGCAGGCTCGGGCATAAGGTGTGCCATGCAGCTCCACGGATGATGGAGGAGGGGCCGGGAAGCTCTCGGAAAGCCCATCGGTGTCTGTCTGTCTCTGGCCTCCGAGCGTGTCTGCCTGTATTCCAGGGTGTGCTGATAACTGAATTCTTTCCTCCTCTGGTACTGGCTTCACCCTCCGGCACATATGTGCTTAAACATGGCTCCTGTGTCTATGTGTCTTCTTCCACTGCAGAGATCCCAACTGCCCACGAGTCCCTAGTCCCAGGCAAACTCCACAGGAAGGAGGGAGAATCAGACTGTGCAGCTTGGTTGAGGGTGGCCCAGCAAGTTATCCTGGGAGTGGAAGGTGGCTGTAGGCTGCATAGGGTGACAGGGATATGGATACGGCTTCCCAGAGGGCGCTGGTCTCTTGAGCAGGGGAGTGTGAGCCAGGAGGTGCCCCGCCCCCATGGTCACAGGAAACTCACAGCCCGGAGAGGTCTGTGTGAGTCCTGCGTGGGAACTCCGTAACAGAGCTCAGGGCCTTTAGGACAGATGCAGTCTGAGGCCCCCTTTATACATTTTCATGACTCATGCTGGGACCTACGTGAAATCTTATAGGATGAATATAATTTGGTTACATGCAAGAGAGGCATTTTTGATTAAAAAAGTATGTATGAATGAAGGCCGAGAAGGGGCTATCGTGAGTTTAACATAGACCCATAAGCATTTTTAACATTTTTGCTGATAGCAGCCCATCGATTTTTGGACGAGGTTGATTTTTTTTTTTATTGTGGTAAAATATACATATCATAAAATTTGCCGTTTTGACTCTTTCTGAATGCACATTTAGTGTCATTCAGCACATTCCCTTTGTCAGGCAGCTGTCACCACTCTCCATCCCCAGAACTTTTTCGTCTTCCCAAATGGTAACTTATCATCCCGGGCTGAAACCACCCATTGAACCCTAACTTCGTGTTCTCCCTCCCGGGCCCCGGAAGACACCACTCCACGTTCTGTCGCCGTGATTTTGATGACTGTAAGTACCTCACATACATGGAATCACACAGTATGTGTCCTTTTGTAACTGGTGTATTTCACTGAGCATGAGGTCCTCTGCGTTCATCCATATTGTAACAGGCGTCATAATGTCCCTCCTTCTCAAGGCTGAAGAATATTCCGTCGTGTATAGGCCATGTCCAGCCATCAGTGGACGTGTGGGTTGTTTCCACCTTTTGAACTATGAACAACACTAGCAGCCCACCATTTTTAAAGTATAGATGAGATTGTTTTCCACTTAGAATCATCAACACATTGTTTGACTAATGAAACCTTTAGTCAGTGTTTGACTAAGTAAATACTTAATCCATCCTCTCCATTTCATAGAGGGAAACTCGTTCAATTAGGAAAAGTGAACAGCCCAGGGATACACCTTGCCTACTTTGGACTCATTTGCCATTTCTTCATCCACGTACCTAAAATTATGAGAGATTCTGTAGTTACAACAGCATGGCCTCAGTTAGGATCTTTAGTCCTGAAGAGTGTTGTGGACTTGGAAAGAATCCCATAGACCAGTGGTTCTCAAACCTTTTTGCTTAGGACTTTTTGGTTTCAAAATAAATACTGAAGATGTGTGGCTTATCTGTACACATTATAATTTAAAACTGGCAGATTTTTAAGGAATTTCTTCATTCATTTAAAAATAATATATGTCTATGAAAAGTAACCACATTGACCAAAACAAGCTAATTTGTGAGATAGTGCCGTGTTTTAGATTCCTTCAAGTATTTCCCGTATCCGGTTTGATAAAGATGACTGGATTCTTGTAGCTATTTCTGCACTCAGATTGCTGTGAAGCATTGTTTTAGAGGGAGCACATAAAGAGAATCTGGCTCACACAGACCCAGGGTCAGAGTACTTCAGTGCCTTTTCAGGAAACTGTCAATATTCTTCTTTGATACTACACCAAAAATTGTCAAGTGGTAGTTTCTTAGTGTGTTAGTTGCAATGTGGAATCTGAAGCTGAATCAGACAACAAACACTTCATCCTCCGTTACTTTAGAACATTTCAGCTTATTTTGTACGTTAGATGGATCTTTGCCCGTGTGTGATTTTGTGACGTCACGGTTCACTGGGTTGTGTGGCTCTTCCAAAGGCTGACCTGCTGCTCTGTACCGTATCAGAAAGGCCTGTTGGTCAGTGTCACTCCCGTTCTGGTCGGGAAAGTCTCTGCTGAGAAGCTGTCGTGCTCACGGTGGTGGGTACAAGTGCTCGAAATTCTCACTCTTCCATTTGGAAGCTCAAATTTTACCCTTGGCAACCGACACTGCCGTTGTTTACCTTGGCCTGATTAGGTCATTTTGTTCCCTGTTGGGAAGATGTCAGTCATACACTCAGTCTGTGTCCTTGCAGTTCGTGTATCATTGCTTCCTGGGGCCCCGTGACAAAGCAGCTTAGTGTGACTGGCACCTCAAACAGTGCACGCGTGCTTGCCCTCCGACCCCTGTTGTCTGTCAGTCTGCGCGGAGGGGCTGCTTGCTTGCCTGCTTCCCATTTTATCGTACAGGATGCCAAAAAGGTGCATCCCCTGGGGCGGATGATTCGTACCACTCCATCAAAGCTCTTTTTCTTTTAAAGTTTATTTGATTTTGAGAGAGGTGTGAGCAGGGGAGGGGCAGAGAGAGACGGAGCACAGAGCCTGATGTGGGGCTCAAAGTCACAAACTGAGATCATGACCTGAGCAGAAATCCAGAGTCAGACACTCCACCAACTGAGCCACCCAGCTGCCCCCCAAAACACTCTTAAAGTAACATTTTAATTTTTACTGTCAGCGTGTGGTGAGGTATACAGTGGCCACAAGTTTAGTTTGCCGTCCCTGCTTTGCTTTGTGCTAAGAGGGTGGCAGTTTAAGCCTCTTTGCCTTTGCACCATTAATGCCGGACAAGAAGAATCAAGCTTCAGTACTATAAAAATAGTTGGAGCCCCTGCACACCCTACAAGGGCTTTGGGGTCCCTGAAAGGTTCACACCATGAGACGTCAATTGCTGACTTCAGCCACGTAGCCTGGTCTTGAGTCTGCCTTGATCCTATAAGGGACAGACACGGTAAGGAGTCCGCACCCAAGTCCTTCTTGGCGTCGGCATCTTTCTCGTAACTGCACAGACATGCTCACGGCCTTCTTGGGGATGGAAGCAGAGTTGAGTGTTGAGTTTCTGAAACCACGTCCTAGTGGTTATTTGAAAGCTCTTTGGCATTTCAAACTGCCAGCTCCTTCTCAACATTGAAATTTAATATGCAATTGACCCCATGATTTCGGGCTTTTGGGTCACGGCTCCATCCGTTGGCAGCACGGCTCTGGAGCTTGTCCGAGACGAAACTCGCCGCGTCAAAGCCGGGCAAAGCAGCGTGTTTGTCTAGAAGGTGGTGCCTGGATCTTCGTCCGCCTGGCTTCGGCGAACTTGCTTTGCACATGGGAACACTGTACCCAGTCCAGCTGAAATGAAACACATTTATCCTGTGGCGTTTGCACACCACTGGGTCTGACGGTGTCCTTCCTCTCTCCTTTGTTCGCAGCAATGGAAGAGTTAATAGTTGAACTCCATCTCTTTCTTGAACTCCTGGACCACGAGTACCTAACGTCAACCGTCAGGGAGAAAAAGGCGGTGATTACCGACATCCTGCTGAGGATACAGTCATCCAAAGGTGTGTCTGCTCTTTCTTCCTCCAGTGTCTGCTTTGCCTCTGAACCTTCTTTAATACCACTATGTAAACACGATCGTTTGTTCATTAACATATGAACCTATCGATTCACCACGCTGTCCCCGAGGGCCTCCCTGTGTGCCCGGTGCTGGCGGGCTCCCCGCGTGGGAGGGCAAAGCCTTTGAGGAGCTGACGGTGACCACGCTCTACTTACTTCCTCTCTGTACACTCCTCTCCTCATCGGGAGCATCCGCCTCAGACGAATGTCGTGGGAGTCAGAGGCGATGACATAAAATACCTCCAGACAGTGTCTGACATGTGGTAAACCCGCCATCACTGGCTGTGATTTTCTCCTGTTGCTTTTTTTTCCCTTTAATATTTATTCAGTTTTGAGAGAGAGTGAGTTGGGGAGGGGGAGAGAGAGAGAGAGAGAGAGAGAGAGAGAGAGAGAGAGAGAGAGAGAATCCCAAGCAGGTTCCACACTGTCAGCACAGAGCCCCACGCGGGGCTCGAACTCACGAACCGTGAGATCGCGACCTGAGCCGAAGTCAAGAGTTGGACGCTCAACCGACCGAGCCACCCAGGGGTCCCTTTCCTGTGGCTTTTATGGGTGGAAGGGGCCCTGCTTTCCAACCCCACGCCCTCTGCGTGTTCCCTTTGCCCGGCTGTTCCTGACAGGCGGTCTGGACGCACCACCGCATGTGGGCCTCCAGCCTTGGGAGCTGCTGTTGGCTTTCCCCGATGCCCCTTCCTGTCTCCTTCTGCCCGGTGGGTTCCGACCCTCTGTCTCTCATGCTGTGCCCTGTACATGCTTCCGAAGCTTTCCACCTGTCTTGTTCTCCCCTCCACTCTTTAATTAGCCTTGAACCTGTCCGCTGATTATTTTCAGTGGTAGAATATTCCCATTCGTTCTTTTTCTGTCTTTTCACTGTTGCCAGTTCCGTGCCAGAATTCTCCACCGTAGCGTCTGGCGCTCAGGGCTCTGGCTTTTCACAGTCCATTTTCCTCCCTGCATAGCACATGCAGCCTAGTGCAGGTGAAGCTTGTCGAGTGGCTGTGCTTGTGGGTCTTTCCAGGTGGGTCCTGGCCTATAGATAGTCCCGTGCCCATATGAAACCCGATGCCCTCCACCTTCCTGCCTTCGCTGACCTGGTGCTCACCGTTGTTTCTAAGAGTTACTTGTGTGTAAACTTGTCTTCCCAACTTGAATACGAACCCACTGAGAGCATGAGCTCACACCAGCCATGGCACTCGCCACGCTCGTCTGTCCCAGTGTCTGACTTTAAGAGGGCACCTAATACAGGGGTGCTGGGGTGGCTCAGTCGGTTGAGCGTCCGACTCTTAATTTTGGCCCAGCTCATGATCCCAGGGTCGTGGGATCCAGCCCCATGTCAGGCTCTGCACTGAGCATGGAACCTGCTTGGGATTCTCTCTCTCTCTCTCTCTCTCTCTCTCTCTCTCTCTCTCTCTCTGCCCCTGTCTTCCACTCATGCTATATCTCTCTCCCTCTCTCTCTCCAAAAAAAAAAGTTAAAAAATGAGAACAAAAGAGGGCACCTAATACACACGGGCTGATTCCCAGGGAAGCGCCTGCCCCCGGAGTCCACAGGTAATCGCTGACCTGAGGGGAAGTTCAGGCAAAGCACCTCACCTTGGCGAGGCCGGTGGCTTTGGGAAGAACTTGGCTTTGGTGGCCACTCCCTCATTTGCACCTGCTAATGTCTCCGTGAGTTCCGTAACCCTTTTTTTACAGCCGTAGATTCCTCACCTGTAAAGTGGAGAATGACAAAATTGCTGTACACGATTAGAGAAAACAAATATTTGCAAAGCATTCACGATGGGGCCGAGGGAGTGAGAACGGCTAGCGCCCCCCTCAGTTCTGTGGTTTTGGTTGATGCTCACAGGTTTTGAAGTGAAAGACCATGTTCAGAAGCAAGAGATTCTCCCAGATGCCTTTGCCGGAGATCCCTCAGCCGTGGCTGGTGAGTGAAGGGTCCCCCCGGGGCAGCAGCTGAGCCCCCGGGCCCCGGGCTACTCAGGGCCCCGGGCAGGTGATAATGGCTTGGGTCTGGGGGAAAGGAGGCCTCGTCTTGCTAGAGGCTCTCTCCTTGATATTTGTTTTTTGTGGCGGAGGCTGTCCGCGTAACTTCCTTGGGGCTGTTGTTTCCCTTAACAGGCTGGAAGCTCCGAGTCCGGTAATCTGTTCTTAGGTCAGATTTTTTTTTTTTTTAGTAAATCGAGCTTTGCTTGAGCACAACAGTGGCAGCAGAGTCTAGGGACCTGACCATCTGGGTGAGTTCTGGAGTTGAATACCTTAGTCTGACACTTTAATATTCATTGTTATGCTTCTTCCGGGGCAAAAAAATACATCCACATCCCAGGAATGTGTGTTGGATTGGATTGGATTGGATTGGATTGGATTGGATGCATCCAGAATTTGTTTTGGAAGTCTTTTGCCACGTTTGCCGTCTTGGGGTGCTCTCACATGCACCTTCTCACAGGCCATTTAGCTCTTCCTGCCTTGCTGCGTTCTCGTGTGCTCACTTAGGAACGTTGGACATGCTGTCAGGACCAGAGCAAACTTGGTTACTCGACGGTTTTCTTTTTAATGTTTGCTTTCAGCAGGGACACGTCACCATCTCACCCTCAGAACAAGGGCTGTGGGAGAGCAGGGCCTGTCTCCGCCTGGGTCCCCGCGTCGTGGCCTGTGTCCACTAGACGCCCATCAGTTAGCATTTTAGAGGGGACAGAGGACGTTAGCACCCGTCGGCTCCCTCCTGCGTATCACACACCTCACTCGGTATTTTTCCACTTATAATTTCATGTAATCCTCACGGCTTGACCTTAGAGAACCCCTATAGCACCTGACCATGTGACTGGGATGCACACCCATTTCCAGACCAGGAAATTTAGGTCAGTGAATATATGTGATTGGTTCAACACCACACGAGAGTCAGGAAAGGCAAAAATTGTAGCAGGTTCTTTGGATTCAAATCCAGTCTTTTCTCAACGCTACTGTTTTGGGGTGTGGCCGCACAGCCGAGGCAGGCATGGCTCCCGGAGCAGAGAATGTGGTGTCCGGAACCGGAAGCCCGATAGGGTAACCGTGAGTTCGTCCCGAAATGGTAGATCTCCGGTGCTTAGAGAAGGTGCCTGGCAGGTGCCAAGCCCCACGCAAGGGCCTGCCGCTCCTGGAGAGAGCCGTACTTCCCAGACTTTCACGGCCCCGAATCCCTGGGGATCCTGTGAAAACGAACCTTCTCATCCACTAGGTCCGCATGGGGCCTTCGGTGCTGCGTTTTCAACACGATCACAGAAGAGAACTGGGGGGAAAGCCCCAAAAGTAAATAAAAGTCACCCACTTTTCCTTCTTCCTGGGAGAGGCGCCTTCTTCCTCCGCCCTTGCCGTCCGGGTGGGGGGGCCACAGGCCTCAGGTCCGAATCCCGATGTGCTGTAAGTGGCTCGTGTGCACGGGGTTACAGCAGTAAAGTCGATTTCATCAATTTCTGCGGCCACGAGGAAAGTTTACATCACGCGTGGGGCTCTTGTGTGTAGCTTGCCTACTTGTCGTTTTACACACTTAGCCTTTTTGCGGTCGAGAGTGTATGGAATATGTGACTTTTATGCACCGTGTTTTATCATTTTAACATGATGTGTTTCTTCCTCTTTATAAATTTCTTTTTTAATGATTCGTTTCCTTTTTAAAACTCATCCCGTTTGTTGTAGAAACTGTGACTTGTCATCTGTTTTTAGATGTAACGCGGAACCGTAGGCCAGAAGCATTTGTCCTCATGCACGTTGTTCGTCTGAAAGAGCAGAACAGGGTGGAGGTCAGCGGTTCATTCCTTTCTGGGGCTTATCTTCCGGCTCACGTGCGCTTTCCTGGTCTGAGCCCGTGGCCCTCCCTACACTGTGGCTTGTATTTCATCGCTGCTGTTCAGATCGGAGAGTGGGAGGCTTCTGTGAATGTCGTGGACTCTTGGGCTGCCACGTAAAGTGCCACATACCTGGTCTGGACTGAGACCCGAGAGCTGGTCCAGACCAGACAGATTGCCGCTTTCGGTGTCAGTTGCAGACAAAGCCTGCTCATTGAATAGCCAGCGTTTTCTACCATTTTGGCCACCAAATAGTCAATCCGTTCCCCTGGGTTTTTTCTCCGATGGAGTTTGCTATTCATTCACTCGTTTGTGCGCTCTCTCTCTCTCTCTCTCTCGCTCCTGTTTCTCGCTGTGCCAGCTTATGCTCTGTCCCTGCCTTTGGCTGCAGTGCTGCAGACTGTCCTGGTCTAAGGTGCACGAGGAGCCCTCCTATTGGTGGTAGCAGGGTAATCAAAAATGTTGGTGGGGGCGCCTGGGGTCTCAGTCGGTTAAGTGTCTGACTCTTGGTTTCAGCTCAGGTCGGGTTCTCACGGTTTGTGCGATCCACCTCACCTTGGGCTCTGCGCTGACAGCAGATCCCTGCTTGGGATTCTCTCCCCACCTCTCTCTGCCCCTCCCCTGCTGTTGCTCGTGCTCTCTCTCTCATAATAAACATTTTTATTTTTTTAATGTTTTTTCTAAATTTATTTTTGAGGGAGGGAGGGAGGGAGAGAGACAGAGTGTGAGCGGGGAAGGGGCAGAGACAGAGGGAGACACAGAATCCGAAGCAGCTCCAGTCTCTGAGCTAGCTGCCAGCACGGAGCCTGACACGGGTCTTGAACTCCCAAACTGTGAGATCATGACCTGAGCTGAAGTCACACATTTAACCAACTGAGCCACGCAAGCACCCCTAAATATATTAAATTTAAACGAATAGCTTTTGAGTAGGAGTCTGACCCATGGACAATTTCTCCCTACTGGTGCCTAGAACATGGGTATCTGGGGTTTTCCCGCAGCCTCTAAGCCAGGATGTTCCTTGCTACGATTCTCCTGGGATTGTGATGTGGGGCCAGGGGCTATGCCCTGCATTCTTCTAGTCTTTTCTGCGTCATCTCTACCTGTGGCAGTTAGTGATTCTCGGTTTTTGTTTCCTTAAAGTGGAGCAAAATGTAGACACTTGTGAGCTGGCGTGAGTTTGGAGCCTGTGCAGCTTCAAGTGCTGTGCTGTTCTTTCCCAGTCGACACGCCCTCCCTTGATCGAATGGTTTTCTTTTCTTCCTTTGTAGTTTGTCTTGACCAAACCTTTCTTTTCCTCTCTCCCTCCCTCTTTCTTCCTCCTTTTCTTTCTTTCTTTCTTTCTTTCTTTCTTTCTTTCTTTCTTTCTTTCTTTCTTTCTCTTTCATTTTCTTTTCATTCCTTCCTTCCTTCCTTCCTTCCTTCCTTCCTTCCTTCCTTCCTTCTTTCTTTTCTTTCTTTCTTTCTTTCTTTCTTTCTTTCTTTCTTTCTTTCTTTCTTTTCTTTCTTTCTTTCTTCCTCTTTCATTTTCTTTCTTTTTCATTTTCTTTCTTTCTTTCTTTCTTTCTTTCTTTCTTTCTTTCTTTCTTTCTTTCAGTAATCTCTATACCCAGTGTGGAGCTCTAACTCACAACCCTGAGGTCAAGAGTTATACACTCCACTGACTGAGCTGGCCAGGTGCCCCCTGACTGAAGCTTTCTAAAGAGCATCATCTCAAAGAGGCATCACCTCGCCTTTTGCACTCATTATTTCACTGGCTTATTTGAGTAATAGTTAATCACGTTAACATCAATAACTACTGTAAGGAGTGTAAGTGCTTAAGGAACGAGGCTGACTCTTGGTGCACGTACAACTCAGTGGATGGGACCCTTTGCAGGGGGCACCCTGGAGAGGAGCCTGTCGACCATGAATGTTGAGCACTTTCCGGACATCCATCAGGGCGCTTTCCAGAGGGAATGAAGAAAGCCTGTCACGTCAGCAAGTCAGGGGAGTAGAGGTGGGTTAGGATGGCCCCACTGTCTTTTTCAGATGGTGCTTCAGTGAATTCATCATCCAAAAAGGAAGCCGGTCTGTCATTCAGTGGATTCAGTCTGCCCCTGGTGAGCTGGCTTTTGGCCGGTCGGTCATTTGCTGGTGGCAGGCTGACTTTCAGCAGAACTAGCAGGTGCTGGGGCAGAGGTGGAAAGGACAGGCAGCCGCTGGGCCACGGCCTACGGCTCCCCAAGGAAGGCGGGGTGGCCTGGAGCTTGGCACGCGGCTCCGTGTGCCGGGGAGCGACTTGGCCAGGGGCCTGCCCGTGAGGCTGCCACGCTGTAGGAGTTCGTCCCGAGGCGCCTGTGGGGGTTCCCGTCTACGCCGCCCATGAAAGGCTGAAGAATGTGTCGTAGGGCAAGATATGTGATACTCCAGCCACGTCCTCTTCTCCATCTGAACAACTGTTAGAGATGAGTTATCTTTGACCTAAAAAGGTCAGCAGTCCCTTTCAGTGCCCAGCAGGGCTTTATGCAACTACCACCGACCGTCGCCCGTCATTCCGTCTCCCCAGGGGACCGTGAGGGTTTATTGAACAGCAGCGGCTCCTTTCCACACTCTTCTAAGCAAGCGAAGTCTGCACTTTGTGGAGACGGTTTGTTTCTGTGCTTCTTTTTGTGCCGCGTGCCGCGCAGAAGAGGCCGGTGGCTTCTCAGGGTCGGGGAGCGCGTCCCTAAGTCTTGTTAGCATTGACAATGCGCCCATGCACCGAAGGAACATCTGAGTGTGCCTGCTCCGTCCTGGGAGGAAATGTGGTGGCAGCCGAGGGCGTCCCGTGTGACCTGGGGTCCTTCAGTGTGGCCATCAGGCTTCAGAAGTGCTCGCAACAGTGTGGACGCTCGGAACTTCTCCCAAGGCCTCGAAATCGCAAGCGTGGGGCGATTGGTCGCACCCCCTTGCTCTCCGACGGAGACTAGAATGGGCCGAAGGAATGGTTTGTTTGATAAAAGCCTTCTGGGAAGAGCTGTGCTTTTCCACAGAGGTCCGTGTGGTTTCGCACCACAGTGCGCAGCTGTCACGCCGATGTGCTCCATGTGTGGCCAGGGCGCAGGGCACTTGTGACGGTGGACACGTCCAC